AGGGCTCTTCTGGCCTCGGGCAGGCCTGGGTGCTCGAATGTTCTACCAGGAACTCTCTCAGGTACTGTCAGTTCTCAGCTGCATGGCCAAGACCAGGGTGTGGTGATGGCCTTCCTCTCCTCCTCTTCCTCTCTCTGAGGATAGAACACGCACTGGAGTCCGATTGGATCCCAAGACTGCCCCCCCCCCCCGGTTTTCCAAAGCTAAGCAGAGATGACTCTGCTTACTGTCTCTTTTCAATCAAGAGGAAATTCCAGAGATCTTTCCACTGACACCACTGCCTGCATTGACTTTGTTCCTACGTGGATTGTTTACAACAGAGGAAATGGCATTTGCTGGTTCCAACAGCCAGTGGAAGTTCTGAGCTCCTGGTTCTCATTTTTCTTCTGCTTGGGCCATTGTTGTTGTAATTGAGATGACATTTTAAAAAAAATATTTATTTTATTTCTTATTGGAGAGTCAGATATACAGAGAGGAGAAGTGACAGAGAGGAAGATCCTTCATCTGTTGATTCACTCCCTAAGTGGTCGCAACAGCTGGAGCTATGCTGATCTAAAGCCCAGAGCCTGGAGTATCTTCTGGGTCTCCCTCGCGGCTGCAGGGTCCAAAGGCTTGGGCCTTCCTTGACTGCTTTCCCAGGACATAAGCAGGGAGTTACATGGGAAGTGGAGCAGCTGGAATACCAACCAGTATCTATATGGGATCTCAGCACATGCAAGGTGGGGATTTAGCCACTGAGCCATTGCACCAGGCCAGAGCATGGCCTGCAGTGCTTTGACAAAACCCAGGTCTCCTGACGTCAGGGTTTTTGGCCTCTCAGTCCCGAGTTCTAAAGGCCACCCAGTACACTGCAGAGAAACACACAGTGGTCTCTCAGCCTTCCTGGATCTGGTCGCACAGTCCTCCCCAGGCTGCCACTCCACAAGGGTCGTGGCCTGAATCCACTTCCTCTCTGATCTCATCTCTATTCCAACTGGGCACCAGTTCATGTCCTGGCTATACTACTTCCTTTCCAGGTCCCTGCTTGTGGCCAGAGAAGGCAGTGGAGGACAGTCCTAGGCCTTGGGATCCTGTACCCACGTGGGAGGCCTGGAACAGGCTCCTGGCTCCTGGCTTTGGATCGGCTCAGGTCTGGCTGTTACAGCCATTTGGGAAAGTGAACTAGCGGATGAAGAACTTTCTATCTCTCCTCTCGATAAATCTGATCTTTCCAATAAAAAAAAAAAATCTTAAAAAAAAAAAAGAAGAAAAACAACTCCAGCTTGCACTCTGAACCACAAACTGACTGAGACTATAATCTGATAAACATAGGAGAGATTCAACAGTGGCAGATCGTTACAGTGAGGAGGGCTCAAGGCCGACACGCGGTGCTTGCCAATGGCACTGAACTAAATCCTCCCATCACGGCCACTTTCAAGGTAAGAATTTTATCAATTCACGTGCTAACCTGAATAATCAACAATGGCTCGCCAGTATCAGCTAACTCTAGAGAAAACCAGGCTAAACTAAAAGCGGAAGGTCTTACATTCTGACACGCTTTGATTGACTGATGGGTGGAGCATCTCCCGGGACAAACTGGCAGGACAGAAGGTGAGCCGCAGCTGCTGGGCCCTGGCGTATTCTAGCATTCTGTGTTTGGAGGTGGCAAGTTAACAGTAGCTGGACATCCAGGTGGCTTCTGGGAAAGTACTGATGCAGTAAGGAGGTGCAGGGAAAGCGCTGGTACCCTGGCGAGAATACATTCATTAAACAGACACACAGACGTGCCAAGCCAGCCTTCTTAAGCTTCTGTATCTACACAGAGAAGGAATGTGGTGTTGTGAGGCCAGTGTTAGGATTAAGCACACCACCACACAGAGTAAGTGAGTTGTAAATGACGCCCCGCATGGACTTTACCCCTGGTGGATGCACTGTGCCTGCGGGTTTATCAGCTGTGCTGTCCACCAGCCCCGCAGAGCTGAGCAGCTGAGCCCCCCGGGGAAGCGAAGCCCCTGGTGTTTAGCACGTGAACCTTCACAGAAGCTTGGCCACCTGTGACTGAACCGCTGTAAGCTTTGGAGTGACCATTTTATCCTCTATGTATTCAAAGAAGACAAGCAAATACGGGTATGAAAGGAAAAAGATGGAAATCGGAGATTCTTCCTGAATTCCAAGGATATCTAAGTAACACATGGAAGCTGAACTCCAGTTCTGTCTACTAGAGGTGGTATGTCTTTATGATTTGGGAGGGGGATGTATAAGAGAAATTTTGATTGATTTATACAATCTTTTAAATTAAAGTTATTTTTAAATTTTATATTTTATATTGCATAGCTGTCAGGGGTACACTGCTTTAACTGACTGGAGCTAGCGAGCAGCCTTTCCAGCTCCTGGTCTTTTTCAGCTCTCACAGCCTCAGCAACCGCAGTCACCCCCACTGTGCTGCAGAAGCCAGGATTTAACGGACGGACGCACGGTGTTTGTAAGCGATGCTCTGCATAGGATGGCTATTTGCTACCTTCTGAACCCGGAATGCGCCTTGAACATGGAGCACAGGGTATGGGTTTGGGAGGCAGAAAAGCAGCATATGATTTACAACCTGGCCACAAGAGTGACGGAACCCACATTTGTCAAGCAAAATAATCTGATCTAATTGCAGGTAAAACAACACGCTCCATGTTGAAAAATGCACACAATCTAACCAGTGCAGGGGAAGGGGGCTTAAGGAACCATTTCCTGGGTTAATTTTTTGGTGTTTACATGGAAATTTCTTCAAGCAGCAAATAACTTACCAATGATCTCGACAGGTTGAAAATGATACATCTTTACCACAACATAAATTAATTCTCTCGGTGGGAAATGGCCAAAATAGGCAAGGTGTTGGAAAGATTTCTTTACGTCTGAAGGAAAGGAAATGATTCCATTTCTTCCAAACATTCCGACATGAAAAATAATAAACTCTCACTTTCGAACTGCTTCTATTTCCAAAGGGCTCCAAGGCACCCACTGCTAATTGGGGCAGCTGTGGTTACCTGGTGCGGGACATGAGTCAGTTTGTACTACCTTGGGTGGAAAACACACCCAAAGTTGCACACTGCCTCCATCGGTCACATTCTATCAGAGTGAAGTGGAACGGAAGCAACCAGGAGAGAAGATGGAAGGATTACATCACAGTTTTGATACTCGGTCCCTTCCATTCCTTGGACTTCCATCACGTGGGTTACACAAAGATCAAAGTTAAGCTTCATAAAATGAAACACAGGGACAGCAACCTAAGGAGATGGACAGATGCCAGCGCAGATGAGCCAATCCATCCTCTGGAGCATGGCTCCGACTCCATTCTGGAAACCCCAGACCGAAGAGAGGAACTCTGAGCCGAGTGCTGGAGCATGCACCTGCTCTCTGCGCTGGACTTCTCCCGAGAGATGCGCCTCCCACCACCACGGTGTCATCTGTGCTGTGTCTAAGGTAACAAGCCGGTCAGGGAAGAAGCTGAGGTACAACTCTGATCCACGTGCCTTCATTAAACTCAGAAAGGCCCAAGGCTGGCTAAGCCACACGGGGTGTCATCTGTGGGTCTCCTGAAACGCCCCTATGGGGTGAGAAATCATCTACTAAGTGCGGCTTGGTTTGGGAAACTTGCAGAGTAGGTACCAAGGGCTGTTAGAGCTGAGTCTTAAAGGAGCCCGTTGAACCCATCTCCCTCATCCCTTCACACTTCCCCAGGCTCACAAGGACTCCAGGTGACGTCTGTGAAATACACTGTGACATTTACCCCTGCAGCCATCTCTCCCAATGTGACACAGAGAAGAGAGTAACAAATCCCAACTACATGAGAAAGTAAAGTTGCTCATGGTCAAGCTGATGCCAGGGAATGAATGGTGTGGTTGTAAATCCTCTTAGTGACCACCATCTCTGCCTCCTCTACATCCGGCTACCTGCCCATGTTCAAGGTTTGGGGTCCCTAAGCTCCCCTGAGACATGCAGCCTTGTCAAGTTCCACTTCCTGTCCTCCACATGGCTTTCTCCCTCCTCCCATTTAGTTAAGTGACATCTTCAAGAAAGCTCATGGAAAATGTGTATGGTGAAAAAAAAAAATCTATGCATAGATTTCAAAACTATTTCTGCACAGAAATAAACATCTAATTTCATTTTCCACACAAATTCTAAATACTCTCCATCTTGGCTACCATGTGCCACTCAAGGGCAGCCTGCCTGGACTTGGTCAAGTTTCTCTCTGGCTGCTTTAGCACTGAACGTTCAGAAAGACAAGGTCTTCTTTCAGCTGGGTACCTCCTCTGCTGTCCAAACTCCTGCCTGTGGGTGGGAGTGACGCCACGGACTGGGGGTTAGAGGGAGGCTCGGGGCAGGGCCCAGGCTGCATGCTGCTCACCCTCGCCTGGGGTGAGCTTAGCAGGGCCGTCAGGAAGGTAAGCCGGGTTCAGGGAGATGCACCAAGCATCCCAGTGGTTCCGGATCTCCACTTCCACATCTGTGAGGAGAAGCCAAGGAGTGTTCTAATAGAGTCCCTAGAATGCCAACATCCTCAACGCACTGCGGGCTTTGGGGAAGAGAGGAGGGATATCCCTTTGTTCTCACATGTGGCTTCATGACTGGCACCTGGGAGGGTTCTAAATGGTCTTATCTTTGATCATGGCATCATGGGAAAAACAAATCTCAAAATGGATCAAGTAGGGAGGATGGAGTGAGGCGCTCCACATGCCCCTTCCTTGCCTTTCACAGCCATCAGCACAGGCAGCCTGGTGTCACCCAGAACTGCACCTGACTGCAGCACATGGTGGAGACTTTCAACACACCCACAAGACCATGACCGTATTAACAGCAGCTTCCCAGTAGCAGAACACACGGACACTCTGCAAACCAAGCAGAGGGCAAGGACGGTGCTTCAGAAAGCATTGGCACCTGCACCCAGCTCTTTCTCACCCCTTGGCACATCCCACACATGATGCATTTCCACTCACTCTCCACCCATTCCTTCTTGGCTGGGCCAAGTCACTCACCTGTTGGTGTGCTGCTGCGGAAGGAAGAGGAGGGGGTGATGGGCGGGGTCACAGGGGGAGTAAGGCTGCCACTGCTGTGGCGTGGCGGAGTGGACACATTCCCTCGGGACACAGAGCTGGACAGGGTCAGCGACAGCTTGGGCTGGATCTTCCTTTTGAGGGACTCTTGCTCTCGGCGGGCAGCATCCGTCATGAACCTGCAACAAGTGTGGAAAGTGAGCCATGTGGGCTACAAAGAGACCATGGTCTATAGGCTGGCCCGCAGATGTTCCAGCCCGGGAACAGGCAGTGCCATCTCCCAAAGTCACAGCAGCTCCCCTTTGGCCAGGCCATGGAGCAATCCTTAGATGTGAGGTTTTTAAGGTTCCTCAAAATCAAATCCATTATCTCCCTGGGGCATAAACACACAGCACAGAGCCAGAAGCATGCCAGCCTGCAGGCCCAGGTCCTGCCTCTCAGGAGCTCTGCTCTTGCTGGATCCCACTCATCCCGCCACCCAAGGACAGCACGCACCTCTTTTCCCCTTGGCCTGGGTGCGTGTATACATCACACCAGTTAGCTCCTTCAGGGTAGACCTCATGCAAAGTCGGATGGGTTTCTGCATGGCTCCTGATGAGCACTGTATGTGACTTTTCTACATTGTGGCTGATGGAGGCTGTGCCTCTGTGTGGTGAGAGTAAGGCCCCTTGTTCTACAGTCACCTGAGCATGCATGCCTCTCAGCCAGCTTAGCAGAGGGTCCTGGGCTGCCTGCAGATTGAAGGGGTGGGGACAGGATCCACAGGCCAAGGAGGGAGGTCACCACTAAGGAGTTGTGTTCTGATATTCTCACAAGCAGAAAAACCACTTTTTCTGATGGTTTTGCTTTGGAAACGTCAGAGCGCCTTATCTCACTCTTCCCTCAGTGTGATGATATTCTAACCTCGTTCTCTCTCTCTCTCTCTCTCTTTTTGTGGTGCAGTCTAATGTTCCATAAACTCATGTCAGAGGAGATTCAGGATAAACCAAGAAATGGTCTCTCTTACAAATGAGCATCTTTTGGCATTATTGGCAGGTGGACTTGGTCGGTCCATGGAGGTGCATGAAAGTATTTTGGTCACGAAACCAACATGCGTGTCCACCACCTGGGCTAAGACACAGAACATTGACAAGACCGCCCCCCTCCCACTGTATTTGGCCTATTCCAATACAATGTATCATAAATTAATCACAATGTGTGTAAACATGGTCTTTCCCCTAACTATTCCGTATTCTGCCTATGCAATTCCTTAGTATCTTCCTTTACTAAACCTGGAGGTTTTGGAAGTCAACAAGTACTACAATATCTGGTAAGAGCTTAGAGATGATCAAACACCCAACGAAACAACAAGTAGTATTGTTACAGTGTCTGAAAACTTCTACTTTCATAGTTGGAACACGAACGGCGCACTTCTCAAATGGCTGCTGCAAGACAATCTATAGACACGGGGTTTTACACAGGAACTGAACCGTAACAAAGTTATATGCTTTGCTTGAGGGTTTGGGTTTGGTGCTACAAGATGGTGATGACTGAAAAGGAAGAAAGGAGCTTGAATGACAATCATGATGCCTCCTATTTTTGGAGACTCGCTGAATTCTATAGTTTCTATGGAACATCCCACCAACACTGCTGTCTGCCACCAGGCTGGCCGATTCCCAGGGCTGGGAGATGAATTATGGAGACCAAGATGAACTGTCCCTGATAGGAGCACTTGATGTGCCTATGGTCCAGGATGGCTGCCCAGCCTCAAGGGATCCTGGGAGGCCTCCGGCCCAGATCTTCCCATCCTCATGGCTCTAAGGGCTGCCCCACAGGACAGTGCTAGGAAATACTGCACCTGCAGTGGGGTCCCACACTCCCCACCATCTCCTCCGACATCCTGAACCAAGCCAACGTGGACCTCCAATTCAGTCAAGTCTGTCACAAAGGTAGCCAACTCAAAGCACACCAACTCTTACTTTACTGCTACTCCTTGAGGCTGTTTATACTAAAATGACACTGGTCACCACCATACCATAGTGTGCCAATACTGTGTCTACTGATGTCATGGCTTGAAATTGGCTGTGGTTGAAGTACTCACACCTCAAAAGTGCTGGAAATCAGGATGTTCCCATCAGGTACCTGCAGTTGTTTCCTTCTGCTGAGGAAAAGTCTGAGTCTTCTTGCCTATCTGAGCAGGATGAAAAAGCATTCTTTGATTTTTAAAAAATTATGGCCAGGGCCCGGCACAATAGCCTAGCAGCTAAAATCCTCATCTCCTACATGCTGGGAACTCATATGGGTGCCAATTCTAGGCTTCCTCTCTGTATATCTGACTTTCCAATAGAAATAAATAAATCTTTAAAAAAAAATTACAGGGCCTGGCACAATAACATACTGGTTGAGGTCCTTGTCTTGAACACGCTGAAATCCCATATGGGCACCAGTTTTAATCCCTGCAGCTCCACTTCCCATCCAACTCCCTTCCTGTGGCCTGGGGAAGCAGTCGAGGACAGCCCAGAGCATTGGGACTTTGCACCCGCATGGGAGACCTGGAAGGAAGTTCCTGGTTCCTGGCTGTGGACTGGCGCAGCACTAGCCATTGTGGTCACTTGCGGAGTGAATCATCGGATGGAAGATTTTTCTTGCTGTCTCTCCTCCTCTCTGTACATCTGCCTTTCCAATTAAAAAAAAAAATTATGGCCAGTAATGCATCTCACCAAAATACACCAGAATTTTTCATTAATTTGTGTTTGAAAACAAGTTTTTAAAAGATTTATTTTTATTCCAAAGTCAGAGTTACACAGAGAAAGAGAAAGATCTTCAGTCCACTGGTTTATTTCCCAAGTAGTCGCAATGGCCAGAACTGAGCTGATCCGAAGTCAGGAGCCAGGAGCTTCTTCTAGGTCTCCCATGTGAGTGCATGGTCCAAGGCTTTGGGCCGTACTCAACTGCACTCCCAGCTTACAAGCAGGGGGCTAGATGGTAAGTGGAGCTGCCAGGACATAAACCAGCCCATACGGGTCCCGGCACATGCAAGGCGAGGATTTAGCCACTAGGCCAGGCCATGAAAACTATTTTTTTAAACTGTATTCTATATGCCAATGAGTATATTATATAGGCACCATTTAAAAGAAAAAGCAACTACCTATGCAGCCTGTGGGAAAAAACATGCCAACTTTTGCAGTGTTTTGAAGGACAACCTCTTAAGAGAAATACTGCCTTAATATAATTATTGCTGGTTTTCCAAACTTTTTCCTGCTACCATTATTATTCTACATATGGAGGGAAAAAAACTGAGCTTTTCATAAAGAAAAAAAAAAAAAAAAAGCTCAACCAGTCCCTGGAGCTCGCTCTGTTGACTGACAGCCTGGACACCTGTGGTCAACCATGGCCGCATTTTGTGAAACCCAAACTGCCGTGAGAATAATTTTAACTTTCGTTCAAATCAGAAATGCCCACGTTACTTTAATTTAACGTGGTCATTTGTAGTAATATTTGTTATGGCTAGGGGAAGTACATATTCCTTAAGTAAATTTTTAAGACTCCATTATAAATCTTTCTAAGTCCTTTACCACAAAGTTCACTCCAGCTGACCTGTCCAACATGGAAATGGCATAACAGCGGGTGGGAACGTCAGGAGCGGTCCCATCGGGCGGGGAGGGGAGGGCAAGTCAGCAACCACAGACTTGGAGACTTGATCGCACAGACTGCAGCCTGGGTCAAGGCTCCAGGGATGGGTGTAGGGGTCCCGTGGGTTCCCCCCACCCTGTATTGGAGGTGGGCACGGCCGCTTGAAACTTCAGTTTCTCCTGCAGAAAACAGAAAGGAAAGCCAACTCCGAGATGCAGCCGGGGCAGGTTGACTGCTGGGTGACTCGGATGATGAAGGGTGGCCCGGAGGGCTGAGCAATACTCAAGTGCCAGGGTTCGAATCCTGCCTAGGCCTCTGAATCTAACTTCGGCCATGAGAGGCAGTCTGGATGGCAAACTAACTGGGTTCCTGACACCCACAGGGAGACCTGGCTTGTGGTCCTGTTTCTGACTGGCACAGACCTGAAGGCTACAGATCCAGGGGAGTAAATCAGCATCCGGGAGTTCCCTGTCTGGCAGGAATCTCACATGTATGCACATGAACATGCATCAGAAAGTGCAAGGAAGATGGGATTAAGAGCTTATTTGGGGGGTCTGGCGCAGTGGTCTAGCAGCTAAAGTCCTCACCCTGAACACACCAAGATCCCATATGGGCATCTTTTCTAATCTCGGCAGCTCCACTTCCCATCCAGCTCCCTGCCCGTGGCATGAGAAAGCAGTCGAGGACAGCCCAAAGCCTTGGGATCTTGTACCCGCGTGGGAGACCTGGAGGAAGTTCCTGGTTCCTGGCTCCAGATCAGCACAGCACCGGCCGTTGCACTCACTTGAGGAGTGAATCATCGGATGGAAGATCTTCCTCCCTGTCTCTCCTCCTCTCTGTATATCTGCCTTTGTAATGAAAATAAAATAAATCTTAAAAAAATTTATTTTGACGCAACAAGTTGTGAAAACCATTCACAGGCAGGGTTTTCACAAATAAGCAAAGGACAATGCATGCACATTTTGGGGAAAGTCTACACAGCTTAGAAGAATGGAAATGTTTCAGTCCGGGACCCGGGCCTGAAACTGAAGCCTAACTGTGGAAAGGCTACTTCAATGTGTTTAATGTAAAAGTTCAAGTGCTTTCACAGGTAAACCTCACTGTGCTGCCCCAACCCTGCTGGGAGTTTGAGTTCATATTGTAGTTTATGAAACCTGAACAATTAAGAGTCAGGGAATACTCAAAGAGGAGAGAAATTTTTTTATATAAAATACCTGAAAATGTTCATGACCATATACGACACATTCTGGTGTTTTCTGTAACACTTTGTTTTAAGCAACTATGCTGGGGATGGAGTGGGGAGGTAGATGATCCACCAACTGCTTCACTCCCCAAATGGCCACAACAGCTGGGACGTGGTCCCACATCCATCCAGGTGTCCCATGGGGGAAGGCTGTGGCTGGAGTTCCTGAGCCATCTTCTGGTTGCCTCCCCAGGGTGCAGAACTGGATCAGAGCTGAGGATCAGCATGCCTACACTGGATGCCAGCGGCACAGGTGGCGGCTTACCCTGCTGGCCTGCAGCACTGGCTCCTCATTTCTTACTCTCTCTGCAGGCCCTGGGCAAG